TCTGCCAGGAGCCTAGCTCCTCCAGGCTTGGGGCTGGTCCGTCTGCACGCTCCCCAGAGTAAACACGGCAGCAATCAGAAATACAGCCAGCTTGGCGTGCTCATGGAGCGTGAGTGAGACCCATTCTGTCAGCACGGGGAGGGTTAGACGTTGCTGCAATGGCGCCTAGTCCATTCCGGCTGAGAGCGCTCATGTCTGGGGGACAGAATGGGATAATGTACGCGATGTGCACAGCCACCACGTGGCGAAGACGGACGTTGCAGTCATGATAGGAGAGGTCATGCACAGCCACAAATAACCCGTAAATCGTGGTGACCAAACACATCATGTTTATTTCTCACTCACACCACGCATCTTCTAGGGGTCCCTGTCCTGTGTCGTCATTCAGGGACCCCAGATGATGGAGATGCCGCCTTGATGTGTGTTTCTTCAAGACCCTGAGTCAGGAGGAAACAAAAGCTCGTGAATCTGGCAAACCACACTGAGGCTCGTAAAGCTCCAACTCAGAAGAGACGCGGGTCACTTTCGTCTCTTTTCAGGGCCCAAAGCAAGTCTCCTGGCTATGCCCGTTTGGAAAAGGGACGGGAGTGCAAATCCACTCTGTGCACAAGAGGGGAGAAGGAGGGTGTGTGAGGTGGGCACTGTGACCTCCCTGGGGCCATTCCGTGAATGGCGGCTGGTGCTGGATGGACCGCTCATCATGACCTTTATGCTGACTCCAAGTGGGGAAAAGTGGCACGTGGGACCACATTCTAGGCAGGGGACCTGCACGCACGCATGCAGAGTCGGGAAGGCACCTGCCTTTCTCCGTTCAGGGCAGGACATGCTGCAGTCAGGAGATTGGCCAGAGAGGCACTCCCGAGCTCTCTGTGAGCACCTCTGGATTTAGACCCTAGCCCGTGGCAGGCGGGAGCCTTGACACATGGTGAGCGGGAAGGTGAGCAGGGCCACGTTTCGGCTCAGGTGAGGGAGGGGTGAACCCCCGAGTTCTGGCGGGGTGGGGAGGCTGCTGGGAAGAGCCGGGTTTGTGAGCTCTGTCTGAGGGCCAGTCAGCATGACCAGAAGCTCAACAGGATGTGACGGCTTGAGGGTGACTCCGGTCTGTCCCAAAAACTGGGTGCGGGAGAGGTTGGAGGGGGAGAGCAGCTCAAGTTACACACAACGACAGCACTTTGTTTCAGGAGGTTTGGGAGCGACAAGAACTCTCTTAAATCACCCCCTTGGTGAGCCCTTTGACCTCAGTTACTAAAGCTCAACGTGCATAGACCGCATCACCCGCAATTCCCCGCCGAGTACACACTGCCGACAGAAGGGAGCACACACAGGTGGATGCCTCACAGGGCTGTACCCACAACAACCTCCAAACTGAAAGCAAGCGAGGCGCCCACCCACAGGAGAAACAGCAGTGCGGGTCTGCAATGGAATATTACACAACAATGAAAAATGAGTAGATTACAACCAGAAATACAGTAAGGAGCGAACCTTAGAAACAGAATGTTGAACAGAACCAGACCCCAAGACATCCACGTTGTGGGATTCTATTTGCAGAAAGCTCCCCTCCCCCATAACAAAATCACAGTGTTCGAAGTCAAGATGGGGTTACCCGTGGGGTGGACCGAGTGGGTCGTAACTCACTGGAGGATGGCAGTGTCTTCTTCCCTGACGGAGCTGGTAGTTAAACAAGCATTTACTCATTGTTCACTGAGTTGCACATCCAACTTCTCTGCCCTTTTCTGCACAGAAACTAAACATCAGTGTAGATGAGGCAGACGGAGACACAACATCGTGGGACACCCAGAAGGGGCACGACTTGGCGAGCAGCTGAGAGACAGGAGAAGGCGGGGTCGCTGAGGCAGAGGGGAGGAGGGGCCAGGAGGCCCGCAGGGTGGAGGCTGCTGAAAGGCCAGCTAAGGGAGGAGGCCGTTGACTTCTCCACTGGTTTCAGGAAGAGGACAGTCGTTACCAACACTCTGGAGATCAGCTGCCCTTTGGGGAGGCACCGTGAGATGATGGTAAGAGGCCAGGTTGGTGGAGGGCTCTAGCAGCGAGTGTGGGGGGCGGTGCCGAAGAGGGGATGTGACTGTAGTTGTGTCCTTTGGTTCTCTGGTCCTAAAGGGGGTGTGGGCACCATGCTGGCAGCTGGAGGGAAGGCGGGCTTTGTGGTGGGGGGCCCCTAGGGGGATTGCTGGCCAATCTCACCTTATCAGGGAGATCCCACTCCCACTTTGTACACTAGACGTCCCTCACACCCCATCTCCGTCCCCATATTCCCTTCCTGCTCTTCACTGGGGCCCGGCCTATGTGTTACACGCTTACTTCACCTAGTTGATCTTGGCCCGCTAGGAGGTCAACCCCATGGGAGCAGGAGTTTTACCTGTTCTGCTCCCCTAGTTCTGGGAAAGAGCCTGCACACAGTAGAGGTTCAACAAACATCTGTCGTGGATGAATGAATGGGGAGGTGACCTACGGAGAGAGAGGCTGGGGACAGGAGGCCCCAGGGGGAGGATCTGGAGCTCAGGGGCAGGGATGTTTGCAGACAAGAAGTGGAGGCAATGGATTATGGGGGGGGGGTGGTGAGTGTGGGCGGGGCGGGCAGGAGGTTGAGGGAAGGGCCTTGCTTCTGATGGGGGGGGGGAGGTGGTGCTTCAGGAGGACCCAGGAGACCCTCTGGAGGAGCCCGAGGAAGTCAGAGAAGACCTCCCTGGTGGAGGGTGCAGAGGGGCTGATGTTGCGCCCCGGGGCCCAGCAAGGTTGGAGACCACCAACCCCGGGGTCCCCTGCTGGCCTCAGAAGGTGACCAAGGGGTGTGTTGCTGTGTTGGGCCAGGACAGGGTGGCTGCTACTGCGGTCCAGGGCATCCTGGAAGATGGGGGGTGGGTTTCAGCAGAACCGACAGATGGGGAAGATGGAATGAACATCCGTCTAAGATCAGAGAGGGGGCAAGACTCAGCCTGACGATGGTAACAGCACGGACGAGGCTGCGCCCCTACTGAGTATGAACGGGCCACACCAGCCTGTGATCCCATCTAGTTCACAGGTGAGGTTGCACTTGCCCCGCCTCCCAGGTCAGGACTTGAACCCAGCCTGTGTCTTCCAGAGCCATTTTGCTGCACTGAGCTAGCCAGGTGAGCAGGGTGTGGACAGAGAGCGGGGTGCTGGGTTCTGGATGTGAGGTTTGGGCAGCCTCCTTCACAATGAGGAGGAAGTGCGTCCTGAGCACGTCTAACCTGCGCTTACCTGGTCCTTGCACTGAGCCTGCACACCTGTCCTCTGAGGCGGACTCCGTGAAAAAGCTGAGTCTGGGATGAGTGTGGGGTCATTCAGGAAGCAGGTGGTGGTGCTGGCAGAGACCCCAGGATGCTCTGGGGTCCTTTCCCTTACAGCCAGCAGGGGGCGGGGGGCGGACCTCTTCATAAGTCCATTCTGGTCATTTCTGCTTCATGAAAGCCCAGCACTAGCTGCCAACCTCCTACCTCCCAGTGAGAATCCTCAGGCTGCGTTCTCCTGTCCCTGCCCCTTCTGGGCCCCCCTGGCCTCACTGCAGTTTGGGGAGCTGCCGGGAGTCCCCAGAAAACCGGCTGAAGGCAGCAGAGCCTCACAGAATTGAGGGACTGGGACATTCTGGCTCCCTCTCCGCCTCTCTTCCCCTCTCTTTCCCAAGAGGTTTTGCTGAGCACCTGGGAAGGTGCTGGGGGTCGATCCTTCCTTGCCCACCCCCCGCAGCCCCCAGTGAGGGCTGTGCCGCCTGCAAAGGGACTCGATCCCTCGGCAAGGGCTTAGCTTGGACAAAGAGAGGGCATACTTTTTGAGGGCCTGCTCTGTGCCCGGCACTGGGCGCAATGCAGGGCCATACTGGTGACTCAGGGAAGGGAGGCAGGGAGGGTCCTGTCTGGCAGGAAGCCCTGGGTTTGGTGGAGAGGAACACAGGTAGAGGCGTCCGTTTTCCAGCCTGGTTCTGGAGTGCACCCAGCGCTGTTTCTAGCTCTATCTTACCGGTACGTAGAGAGATGGGCAGGAGGAGAAATCATGGAGTTCTGCCTGGGGGAAGCCAACTACCCCAGGCAGCTCATCCAGAGTTTTACCTCGTCGGATGCCAACTCTCCCCCCGCCCCTCCCGCTCTCCCCAACCCCCCCCAGCTTCTTCCCACGGGTCCAGTTTTGCGCTCCAGAGGGTTCTCAACTTGTCTGACCCGCCTTCTTGTACCAACGCAGGGCACCCTTGCCCGCCCTCTTCTCCCCACTTCTGAAGTCTTCTATGCTCCGCTGTGCCACCTTCAGCTGCCCTCCTCCGTCTCCCCTCCCTGTCCTTCCGGTGGCTGCCCTTCTGCCCCACCTCTTCTAAGCTCGCCGTCATTGGGCAGCTTTTCCATAATTTCGGCACCTGGGCGACCAAGGGGCCCCCGAGAAGCTCAGCTGAGCAGCGCCCCCCACCCCCCAGCTGGCCATCTCCTTCCTCCCTCCCCCGCCGGCCCATCCAGGCACCAAAGGCGCCCACCCGCGGGGGCCGGGGCGCGGCTCCACCTGCAGGGCGCTGGGCGGCAGGCGCGCGGCGGGCGGCGCGGGCCGCGGGGGCGGAGGAGCGGGCGGCGCGAGGGAGGGGCCTGCGGGGCGGCGGCGGCGGCGGCGGCCCCAGCCCGCGCAGCCCGGCTCGGCCCCGGCTCGGTCGGCGCAGCGCCGCGCGCGTCCCCTCCCGCCGCCGCCGCGCAGCCAGGCGCCCCGGCACCAGGCCGCCGCCGCCGCCGCCGGGCGCACGACGCAGCGCGCACCGGCCGGGATGCGCGCCCGGGCCCCGGCCCGCCCCCACCCGCGGCCGCCGCCCGCCCGCCGCGCGCTCGCCTGACCGCGGCGCCCGCCCCGGCCGCCCCGCGCGTCCCCGGCCGCCCCCCCACCCCCACCCCCGGCCGCGATGCCCGCCCCCCGGGGCCCCGGCGGCCCGCGCCCCTGCTAGGCTGCGGCGGCATGGCCCGCGCGCCCGGCGCGACCTCTGCGGATTGCATCGGTGTGTGGCGGCGGGGCATGCCCAGGGCACCGGGCACGGCCTTCAATGGGCGAGGACACGGACACGCGGAAAATTAACCACAGCTTCCTGCGGGACCACAGCTATGTGACTGAAGGTAACGTACGTGTTGTCTGAGGCCCCCTCCGGCCGGCCGCGGCGTGGGGATGCCGTCGCACCGAATGCCCTCCGAAGGTTTGGACCGCGCGCTGTGTGTCGTGTCCCCCCCCCCCGCCCCCCCCCACCCTATCCCACCCCTGACCCGGGTCCCGCAGGGAGGGAGCCCGAGGGCGCCGGCCTCCGCTGCCCAGCGCCCTCCTCCGCGCCGCCCTCCGGCAGGCGGCTTTCGACCCCCAGGCCCGGAGGCATCCCGAGATGGCCCTGGCCCTCATTTGTAGAAAGGCCATTCCTGCGGCTAATCTGGTGAAGAAATCCGGGGAAATTAAATGGCCTAGAATCCTGGGTTTGCCGTTTCAGCCCTGCCCAGAGCCTACAGAATTTTCTAGGCTTCCCAGTCCCCGGAGACGGAGAGGGATCCAGCGGGGGAAGAAAAATCCATTTCGAGGTTCCCCCCCCAGAGGCTCGCTGTCCTGGGCCCCTCCCTGTGCTCCCCGCTCCGGGAGAACCGCAGGGGCCCCTCCTGGGTGGTTTGGGCTTGGTCTTTTATACCTGGTGAGTTATACTGAGACAGGAGAAGTTGGCCCCCAAACTGTCAGAATTTTCCCAAAAAAAGTGGGGCATGCCATCCCCAAAGGGCCCTGCATCTGAAATCCCCCAAATCGGCCCTGGAGGCCCAAGCCCATCCCCCACCCCGAGATGGTGGGATCCGGAGGGCCAGCGCCTCTCTGCTGGACCAGTGGCTTACAAGGGCCCCTCTACTCCACCTGGCCCAGAGCGCGGTGGAGACGGGTCCCAAGCCGCAGCCAGGGGCCCGCGCGCAGCGAAGCCTGGATGTGAAGATGGGGAGAGCTAGCCGCGGGGAGTCCGCATGCAGCAGTGAGGACACTCGTGCGGGAGCCCTTCCCGCGCCTAGGGGCTGTGAGCACCTCCCTGGCCGCAGAAGTGTTTGCGGGTTTGTAGCGCGAGGTCCCCGGGTGGGCGCCCCAGGGAGAGGGGCCCCGCGCACTGCACTCCGCGGGGCGGGTGCGCGTGGGTGCCGCTGTCAGGGAACCTGCGTGGGCTTGGCGGCGGTGACTCTGACTCCTGGGTGGTGTCCGAGGCTCTAGTGCCTGGCTCCGCCGGAAATGAGGCCGACCAGGTGGGGGGGGGGGGGCCCTGCCGAGGCCGGGGAGCGTGGGGCCAGCGCGCGGCGGGCGGGCGCGACCCCTGCGTCCCGTCCGGGAGCGCGGTGGCAGGGAGTGTAACCTGGTGCGAGGGACGCGGAGGGGTGGCGCTCCCCGCTCCCGGGAGAACCGCTGAGTCACGCTTTGCTGATGGGGGAGGGGTGGAGGGGGAGGAGGAGGCGGCCGGGTGGGTGAGGGCTCGGCCCCAGCTAGAGCTTTCTGGGCCCCAGGGAGCCGAACGCGGCCCTTTGTCGCCTGCGTGGGTGACGCTGTGGAAGAATCCGTGCGTTTTCTCTGCCTGCAGGCTGCCTCCGGCCAGGGTGAAAGGGGCCTCTGGGCTGTTGACAAGCGGTCTGGCTCTGGCCCAGCGGGCATCGTCGCTGGTCGCGCTGGTCTGGCTTCGTGCAGGGCCTGGTTTCTCATCTCTGCGTGGAGGGCAGGGTGCAGGACTTGGTGATCGGAAGTTAATAGCACCGTCCTCACCCACGGTGGACAAGAGCAAACGTTAATTCCTTTCCATCCCATCTGCATCCCCTTCCAGCTTGCATTCCTAAATCTACCAGCTCTCGGCAGAGGGGAGCAAGGGGAAGTGCATAGCTTGAGTAGGAAGTGATACTTTTAATTCCTCTTCCTTCCTTCAACAAATACTGAGTACCTACTGTGTGCCAGTCACTTTTAGCCCTGGGGTCTAGACAAAGATTCTGCCCTTGGGCAGCCTATATTCTGGAAGGGAGCTCTGCGTGTGGTGTTGAGGGGAAGCTTTTCACCAAGTCTTGGTTTCCCCGTCTGTACAATGGGAGTGAATAATCACCGTCCTGCATACAAGGTCTTGGGGTTTCTGTGAAGGTCAAGTGGGTGAAGGAACCACCTCGGAGCAGTAAATTGTGAACTGGCAGTTGAAGTATGTTAAGCACCTACTGTGTGCTGGGGCCTTCCACAAGATACTGCATACAGCACTGCCTCCGTTCTATGGATGCAGAAGTCAGTGCTCGACTTGGTCCATGTACCGGGCTGAGTGCAAGCCTGTGTGGGGCATAGGGCTCAGGGGCTGGACGCAGAGAGAGGAGAGAGAGGGGCCCCTGGGTGTCTCGATCAGTTAAGTGTTAGACTCATAGTTTCAGCTGAGGTCATCATCTCACAGTTTGCGAGTTCGAGCCTGGCATTAGGCTCTGCGCTGACAGTGTGGAACCTGTTTGGGATTCTCTCTCGCTCTCTCTTTCTCTCTCTCTCTCAAATAAACTTAAAAGATAACAAAAAAGAAGTAAAAGAATCCTATGAGATTTTTGGCCTCCTGTGGGAAAACAGACTTTCACAGTGTTGCTTCCTGCATTTTGTGCTCAGAGCTCAGGGTGGGTCACAGATTTGGGTGTCAGAGAGACTTGTGTTCAAATCCTGCTTCTGACTCTTCACATGCTGTGTGACCTTGGACAAGTTATTAAACCTTTTGGAGCTTCAGTTTCTCCCTTCGGAAAGGGAGAAATAATAACTAATCTTACATTATTACTATTAGGATGATCAGTGATTATGCTAATGGAGAAGACACCCAATGCCTGGTCCACTGGAGGAGGCATTTGATAAATGGTACTGGTATAATTTATAAAGGTTCCTGGGAGAGCTCCATGAGCAAATAACAGATGCCGAGATTTTGCAAAAGACCCAGGTGTACAAATTCCTTTTCCACCTGGTCATTTGGCCTGCAAACACTCACTGACTACACTCCAGTGGCTCTGGTCTACTTCCTGTTCCTTAAGCAGGTCATTTTTTACCCCCTTGTCTCACGGCCTTCACACTGACTGTGTTCACTGACTCCTCCTCAGCCTTTAGGTCTCAAGTGAAATGTCATCTTTGCCAGTGGGAGTCCTCCTCGAGTTCCTGAATCTCTTATAAAATCTCCAATACTTTGGGAAAGGTTTGTTAGTCATTCACACCCTGGTATGAATTAGAGCAGATATTTTTTTTTTTTTTTTTTTTTTTTTTTCTTTTCTTTTAATAAAATATTAAATAATATAAAATAATAAAAAGTTGATATAATAACTAAGCATGGATGCAGACCACTCTGGGGCACAGAGAACTTGGAAAGGTTGGGTGGGTGTTGGGGAGAGCATTATAGTTGAGCCTCTCCAGACAGTAGAAGGATCCGGGCCCTTGACAGAGGGTCCCCAGGGGTAGGAGAGTGCCAGGAAGTCTCTGTGTGCTTAGACTTTTCTCAAGAGCCAGATATGGCCCAGGAGGGACACTTCCTGGCCGCGTTCCCTTGTTGTAGCCACGGAGCTCAGCTTTTGGGTGAGTGAAGTAGGCGTTTCAAGGCCAGTCTGGTCTGCAAGCCCCTTCATCCCCTTCAAGCAGCAGCGTTTTCCAAGCCCATCCTCTACTGGCTCTGGCCCAGGGCAGGCACGGGGGTTCCCAGCCTAGGGGCGGTGGCACATGCTGGAGAGAGAGATGGTGGCAGTGACTGGGAGTCTTTGGGAACTAGCAGTCACGCCCAGGTGGCCTGAGGGCCCACTTTTCTGCCCCAGGACCACAGTCCCCTCCCTGGAGCATCTCAGCCATCTCCCTAAACGCTGTCATATACACATGCCTCTTATATCTGCGGAAAGAAAGGGCCCTCCATTTCCTTGACCTCCTCATGGGCTGCATGTGGTTCAGAGCCATCTGTGTGTCCCCGCGGATTGTATGGTTGAGGAGATGAAGCGGGGGGCTGGGACGAGGAATGGGTAAGGTCGGGAGGGTGTCCCAGGCCTGTCTGAACCCAGCATTTGGGCAGGTTTGAACGAGTCAGCCTTCTGCCCAGGCCTAGACCATGCCAGAGAGGCATGCTGTTTGTGGGAGGCCGGGGGGCACCCAGATTTGCCCCCACGTTGGGGCTGTGGAGGCTGATCTCCCCAGGACCCAGCCCCTCACCCCGCAAGAGCCTTGTGGTTCTCAGACAGAAACCTGTGGCCAGAGGCGGGGCCAGCTTGGTCCAGGGTGATGCGTCCCTCTTGCGTGACTGGTCCCAGAACGGACATGGGAACCAGTGCTGGAGGCTGAGTGGAAAGCAGAGCGTAGGAGCAGGGAGGCCCCCGTGGGTGGGTGGCTGCAGCCACCCTGAGACGGTGAAGGGGGAAAGTCCTAAGCCAGCAACGCTGTTGGTGTCCCAGCCGAGAGCGAGTGGCGGCAGGGGACATTGTGACTCCACGGGCTAACCAGACCCGATGCCCCCCGTCTCTGGCCTTCCATCCCCACGAGCCGGCACTTTTCCTCTTTGCTTCACACCTTAAGCTGAGTCTCTGTGACTTGTAGCCACAGCACCCCCTTTCCTGGTTATCTGGAAGACGGGGAGCTGCCCCGTCACTCACCGCCGAGATCTGAGACTGATAAAACCAAGAGGGAGTTTGGTTTGCTCACTTTCTGTGTTAGGGATCGTCTTTGATCTCTTTTATTGCACTCAGGTCAGAGCTGCTAAGTTCCAGCTTCCTTTCCTTGGCCCTCCTGAGGAGGCACTCCAGCCACGCTGTGTGCTCGGGGAAGCGGTGGGGGTGGGGGTGTCTGGAGATCCCTGTGCCCGGGGGTGTCTGGCTCTGGGCTCAGCATCTTGGGTAGGTCACCCTGTCTCTCGGAACCTGAGCATCTTCTCTGCGTTGCCGAGCGCTTGACACGCGGGGTGTACGGTTGTTTGAGGTCGTAGTGTGTCCGTGAACATGGACATGTTCCTTCCTGGAAGGAACCCCCTCCGTGAACCCAGGGCATTAAGTGGCTCCGTGTGCGTGAACACGCCCAACCCTGGGGCCCGGGGCCCAGTCTGCTGACCATGGTGTCTGCTCTCAGGAGTGGTTCTTGAAACTATTGGTAGACT